TCATTTCTAATCTTTGTTATTACTCAGTTTGATGGTATGTTAAAGGAAGTAATACATAAGGCATTGGTAAATTCACTCGATCAACAACTTCCAACTTGGTCAGTTGTGTCTAATGTGGTATCTGTAGTTAACGGTAATGAATTTCAACCAGATGTGGGGGGGGGGGTGGAATCAATTCCCAACTCGTCAGCAAATGGTTGCACCTGTCATTAATCTATCTCCACCTCCTTTATTATGGGTCGAGGTAATAATTTTCTTATGGAATGTGTAATCATTTCTTAACAGTCTTGTTAATATTAAATTATTGAATATTACAGGTGGCATTCAATAGGACTAATGATCGTGATAATGCATTAACCAAGTTTGAAATCGTTCGGCCATATTGCCCAAACACTGAGTTTGTGTTAATTGTTATTCCTTTTGGAACATCACCCTTTCAAGCAAATTCAAACCCCGGGATTATATCAGTTGCAGTAACATTACCAATCCTTCAAGAGCACCATATATTGGCCATTGGGCTGTAGGTACAACTTTTGATACAGTACAATGGTACAAAATGCGATGGAATGAACACATTATTCTTGGGTGTGGGGGGTGCATCTACTTTAATGATATACTTACTATCTTGTCATAAATATTTGGCATCTCGATTCAATAACAATCAATTTGGGTATATTGCAATATGATCACTTTGCTTAATGATACATCACAGCTATATATGATTAATAAAGCTATAAAAATTTACATTGTTGCCCAATTTGGGTGAAATTTTATTATTTATTGTGAATTTTTTATTTTCGTTTGCTGATATCAAATTTATAGAAGAAAAAATGACTAGGTGTAAGTTTCTAGCTCTTGAAGTATGTGATATACTGACCTCGTTGAATTTAGTTCACCATAAATAACAGATGCTGTAATGGAAGTTTGGTTGTCTATCGAAACTTTGGACTTACTAGTATCCAATTTTGGATGCATCAAAAACAATAAAGGTATGATCCAATTTTTTTGATGTGAAATGAAACTATCAAGCAGTAGTATCCAAAAGTGCAAACAAATTTTTTGATTTGGTAGTACACAAAAGTGCAATTTGATTTTTTGATTTAGTAATATGCCAAAGTGTGAAATTTTTCGATTCGGTAGTAAGATCCAATTTTTTAATCCAGTAATATGCAAGTATGATCCAACAAATTTTCGAATCGGTAGTACCCAAAAGTGCAACCAAATTTTTCGATGCGGTAATACGTAAAGGTAATACATAAAGGTAATACATAAAAGTAATACGCAAAAGTGCAATAAATTTTTCAATGTGGTAATACTCAAAATTTTCGATCCAGTAATACGCAAAGGTAAGAACAAATTTTTCGATCCAGTAATACGCAAAGGTAATACGTCAAAGTATGATCAAATTTTTTAATCCAGTAATACGTAAAGGTAATGCGTCAAAGTATGATCCAATTTTTTAATCCAGTAATACGCAAAAGTAAGGATAAATTTTTTGATGTGGTAGTACGCAAAAGTAAGAATAAAATTTTCGAATCAGTAGTACGTAAAAGTATGATCCAATTTTTTGATTCGGTAGTACGCAAAAGTAAGAATAAATTTTTCGAATCGGTAGTACGCAAAAGTATGATCCAATTTTTCGATAGTAAAACGACAAAGCATAGGACGAATTTTGACATGAAGTGGTAGTACCAAAAAGTATCGACTATGCGAGAAAGGCTTCCAGTGGCCCAAAACATAGTATACTCGCGGTAGTACGCAAAGGTAGAATAATATAAGGAAGGATAGAGAAAAATTTTGCTTTTGCGTACTACCAAATGGATAACAATTCGGCAATCGAAAACGTTGCACAAGGCAAAATACGGATTGCTATTTCGGCACTTCGTGCCTCATCCTCGAATTCGAATGCAACATACAAAGCCAAAATACGGATTGCCAATTCGGCATTTCATGCCTCATCTCCCACAATCGAAAAAGTTGGCAGTTCGCCTAGGAAATACATTTTTTTACAGCTTTTTTGATATTATTTTTATAATCATACACAAAATGACTATGTGCCATGACACTAGCTCTGCTATTAGTGAAAAATTTATCGATAACAAGTGTCTCAAATGTAAGAATCCACTTAATGATCCATGTGGGGGGAGTTATTGTATAGAGCATAGACTCAATAATTATGGATATTGCAGGAATCACTGCTTAATCGAAGATGGATTCAATCATTGTATCCATTGTACCTCAAATTCGAATGTGGCCCATTCCAAATTTTTGGCCACATAGATGAGATAGTCATAGTCTAGGAATTCGAATGTGGCCTGATGACAAAAATTGGCCACCGTCGTACGTGGTCTGACGACGGAAATTCGCCACCATTGTCCCCCGATTTACTTCTTAAACGGAAATACAACATAATCTTGAAGATTATGTATTTACTAATGTTCATGTTTATAAAAAATGCTGAGAAGCCCAAATTGCCCAAACTAGTTTGGGCTGAGAAAACAGTTTGGACCAGAAACCTTAGTTGAAACCCCCCCCCCCCCCCCAGGAATCAATTGACAGAGTTTCAGCATGTTACATACTAATTGTTTCAACAGAGCTTTGGCAGAGTTCAACAAGGCCAGTATAATGATCGGCAGGAAAATAACCATATAGGTTTTATCAAGCATCTGGGAATATTTAATTTTCTCGTCTTAATATTATCACTTTTGGATAATTTGTTATATTAGTTCAAATATTTCCTATTAGAAATGCTGTATTCAGGATATAATATCAATCTTTGTATGAAAAATAAAATCTAAACTTTTAAGTGGTACAAGTTACTTACTAAATCCTTATAGAGTATCTATTCAGTGTTGGTGAGTGATGAGGAGATGACGTCTTATGGAAGGGGTGCTCCTCACATAACATTGCCTTTCTCCTCTGCCTTGTAAGGAGAGCATCAAATTATATTTTATTTTACAAAATAGATCCTTCTTTACAAAATAAATAGGAAATTTTGCTTTTTCACATTGAGATCAGACATTCTAAAATTTAATTAACAAAATTGTTCTCATTGTAAATTTACTATATATTTCTATCTTAATTACAGAAAGAGATAAGTAGATAAATATAATTAAACAATTTCAATGCAATATATATACTGCATAAAGAGAATTAATGAAATCGGAATTTAGTGGACGCTCCAACAG